TTATATTTATATTTATATTTATATTTATATTTATATTAATGCTTATATTAATGCTTATATTTGTGCCTATAATTATGTTTATATTTATATTTATGTAAAAGGTTTTGTTGTTTGTGCATATCATACCGTTTAGAGTTAGAACGGTTTAGGAGACAATGTCGGTGCTACTACTACTGCTGATGCTGGTTTTGATGATGATGGTAATGACAATGATGATTACGGTGATGGTGGATGTATCTAATGACAAATAAACAATGCCCAGCAACAATGAGGCCAATCCGTTCCACCACTCATCGCTGACCTTTCCCTTTTCCTGCTTTTTTGCTCCTTCTTTTTGAAAACAATTTTTGATGATTGGAACGAAACGAGCACAGAAAAAAAAAAAAAACGAAATACTATTTTGTCTGTTCAAAGAAGTAGGGAAGGAAAAAGGATGCGATGGTTGAAAGATTAAAGTGGGTTAGGTTTACTGAAGGCATAGGAAGGAAAATGCAGGACCGTTCCGGTTTTTGTGTGAAAAGGAAAATACTGAATTTCTCATTGTCACTTTTCAGTGAATTTATGTAAAAGGTACTTAGTTCTATGCTGCAGTGGTGCTCAAAGAAAGAAAAAAGAAACATTAAAACGGATAAAATTAGCCGGGCGAGAAACATCGAGTCATAGTGGAAATGCATGTTTACTTCTCCTTTTGTTTAATACAGTTATTGTTTTCGAGTTTGTTATTATTACCATTAATTTTGCCAATATTGGCTATTTTTGTTTCAGTGTTGTTTTAACTGATCGATCCCGGTTTACTGTTATTTTTTCACCGTCTGCGCAACGGCTGTACGCTTGTGCGGATACATCAAAAAAATTTTTTCAGAACTAGGAACGAAGAAAGCTTGACAATGGAAACGGCAGAAGTTAGACAAAAAAAGTAAAAAAAACTTCAATTTTATTTTTTGCCGTATACTAAAACATATTTTTTTCTTCTTAATCTTTTCTCCTTCTTTTTTTTTGCCTTGCCTTGCGCATGTTAAAGGCGAAAGAAGAATGAACAAGGATAACAAGAAAAGAAAAAAAAATGAAAATGATTGTGGAATTGGCTACCAACTTTTTTCTGTGTATTTATTTGCTTCTTCCCTTTCTCCCCCGTTCCCATCGCCTCATCCCTATTTGTCATCATATTTTTTCCTTCAAAAGAGGGCGCTCAACAAATTTTGAAAGAAAAAGTGTAGTTGATTAACCAGACTATATCATCACGTCACGGTGACGATCCCGTGATGACCGTGATCTTGGGTGAATTGACCAATTCCTATCCTTGTTCCCCCTCCACCCTACCTGCCAAGCTGGCAAGTTAAGGTTGAAACATCAGGTTGACTAGAAAATGATAGCATGTCTGGTATCGTCTATCCACCTGTCCATATGACAGTTCCTGACAGTCAATGTGTGGCATGCAGATGAACAATGAGAAACCGGAAGAGTTTAGAAGTACCTTCCATTGAACCAGTGACTACAAATTTTCCTACAGACATCTGCATCTGTACGAAAAAAAGCACTTGGAAAACCAATTAACAAGGTTGTCTCATTTGCACTTTCACTCTTGTTGAAAATGACTGAGACAAGAAGACTTTCTTTCTTTATTTTCTTGCTTACGCTTCGTAATCGTTCTCATTTGAATGCTGCGAATTTGATGAGAAAAAAATCCAAATAGAAAAAATAACAAAAGAAAATAACACACACACATACAGATTGGCTAGAAATGTGAACTAAAAGCTCGACGTCAGTGTAAGTGGAAATACGTCAACATGATGGAACCAATGGCCAAGGAGAATAATGAAGAGGAGTTGATGACGACGATGATGACGATGTTGTTGTTGTTGTTGTTGTTGTTGGTGGTGGTGGTGGTGGTGGGTGGTGGTGGTGGTAAAAAAGGAGGAGAGGATGTAGGAGAAAAAAGACGGAGAAAAAATCACAAATTCGATGGCTGTTTATATTAATAAAAAAACGGTTAAAATATTTCTTGATATAAAAAAAAGCTATATGGGTTTTCTCTTTTTTTTTTTGAAACAGTTGTTGCCTGCTCGCAAAATTGGGCTATGCCGTGCGTATTTATTTCTAAATTTCTTCGTTTACACTAGTCCACGAAATCGGAAGAAAAGGTAAGGATAGCCGAAAGAAGAAAACCCACAAACTACCGTTTATTCAAGTTATTCTTCTATTTTTCTCTTCCTGTCTCGTTTGTCTATGGAAAAAGAGGGGAGGGAGAAGGGGTTCCTCTTATATATACATCAGTATTCAAAATCAGTTGAAATATCATTTCAATCATGATCTTTTTTGTTGATTCACACTTCTAGAGCACTTTCGCGCTATTCCAATTAAACGAACAGCAACAAACAGAGAAAAAAAAACTGTAGCAGAAAAAATTTTGCAACATTGAAGTGACATAGAACGTGTGAAAGACGACAAGCGACAGTTAAGACCTTATCAGCTGTTTGCCGGGTCAAAAGACGGCCACCACTCTACTGTCGGCTGATAACCAACCACGGCGTCTTCGCCAACCAACTGTCGGTAGCAACAACTACTTCTTAATTGGTGTTGCTCGTATCCCTTCCTCCTTCTCTTTCTGCTCCGCCACAGAATCGGTAACGTTATCTGTGATGATGTCATTTTCGAGAATCAAAGCAGTCAAATTAAAAGTTAAGTAGCAGCAACAACAACGGCAGCAGTGGCGGCAGTAGCGATGGCTGGTAGCTACCGCAGCAGCAGTTCAGTTGGCCGATGTTAGCGGTTCTCTCAGTTTGAGTTAACAGTTAATTTTATTTTCAACGCCTACATCAATGTTCACCCTTTTCTTAGCTTTCTTCCTTCTTCTGTTTTTTTACTCCCCTTAAAAAAAAAAATAAAAGATGTTTTTTTTTTATATTTACATTTTTGTTGTTAGTTCCTTCTTTTTTTTTTTCTTTCAGCTCATTTGTCCCAACTTTTTTCTTTTCTAACCCCATCTCTTCTTCTATGCTCCTCCTTTATTCTGTTCCATTTTCATTTAGCATAAAATAAACCAGAAATGTACATCTTTTTTTTTTGTCATAGATGAAGAAAATGAAGACGAAGACAATAAAAAGAAGGAGAAAAAAGAGAAATAGAAGTATATGAAAAAAAGAAAACGTTAAAAATGCTAAAATATCACTGCAACATAAAGTTAAAGTAAAAAAATTTTTTTTTCATATTTTCAGGGAAAAAGCCAATAAAACCATCAACGATGCAAGAAGAGCTGACTGGCATTGATCATCGAGTGATGGTTGCTGCAGCAGTGGCAGCATCACCACCATCACCATCATCGCCAAAGTCAGCATCAGCAGCAGTTTTGGCATCTGTGTTAACGTCACCATCAACAACAACGATTGTTTTTCAAATAAGAATATTAGAAAAATTTACAGTGGTAAAACAAAAAAAAAAAAAAAAAAAAAAAAAAAAAAAA